TATCTAGGCATCCTAGCATGCTACTATCTATCGCTTAGGTTATTAATCCATTCATCGTTCCCTCCTAGCGCCTTGCATTTTATATCCTTCTAATTCTCTTTCAGCTAGCTAGCTAGAGTTAGCACACTACAACAACCAACTAACCAAAGTTAGAGCTGAGCTTTAAAAACCAGGCGTTAGATTGCTAGCTAACCGCTAATCGCTAGCTATGCTTAATCGGGCTAGTTTTTTTTTTTTTTTTTTTTTTTTTTTTTTTTCTTAGCTAATGGCTAGCTTTTGTTAATGCTGTTTAATTTATTCTGCTCCTGAAGCGAGTGCTATAATTACACTACACGAACAGGCTTCATAAGCAGGTAAAATATCTTAAGGTGCATTGGCACTTCATTTGTGTTAATATTAACAATCATTCACTTTAATTTGTTTTGGTAGCTGACATGGTATTAATATATGGGCCAGAGGCAGGCACACTCAAAATTTCTTTAGGAATTTTCTAGTTTTAATTATAATTCTGTCCATTAGTAACACAATGACTGACTATTTTGGTCATGGTTTTGTACACTTTCTGTAATAAAACATTTAAAAGCAAAACTCCTATCAGATGGGGGACCTGGGACAAAATCTTTTAAAATGGGGGTCTGTGGTCTAATCTGGGTCAGTTTAGGGGTCCTTGACATGAAAAGGTTTGAAAAAACGACAGATTTAACCAAAGGTATTTCCTTTTCCTAGGTTTTCCAGGAGGCTCCATAAGATGGTACGGCGACTTGTGCCGGACTGTGATGTACGTTTTTTGCAGTCGCAGTGTGGCAGTGGGAAGGGTGCAGCCATGGTAACAGCAGTAGCCTACCGTCTTGCCGCTCAACAAGCTGAGCGTCAACGCATCCTGGACACCCTGCGTCTGAGCCGTGAACAACTGCTGGACGTAAAGAAGCGAATGAGTGAGGAGATGGTGCGAGGCCTGTCAAAGCAAACCCATGAACAGACGAGCGTCAAGATGCTTCCCACCTATGTCAGATCCACACCAGACGGGACAGGTAAGAGAAAAAGGGACCTTCCACTTGACTTATTATTGAGTTAAGTTTAATCTTTCCTACAATGCTTTTATGTTTATGAACTTGTCTTTATTGTCCTCATCAGAGCATGGCGACTTTTTAGCTTTGGACCTTGGGGGCTCAAGCTTTCGGGTGCTGCTTGTGCAAGTACAAAGTGGAAAGAGACACAAAGTCGACATGCACCACAAGATCTACAGTATCCCACAGGAGATCATGCAGGGCACAGGGGAAGAGGTAAAACATTACTGGGGGTTGAAGTATGCGAACAGCAACGAAAAAGATGACACTGAGCGACCTCTGCTGTTTTTGAGGTTGAGTCATGTCTCAATGAATGATTACAAGCACTATTATTTTATTTCTTATTATTTTATTTTAAATGTGAAGATTTTTGTTTGATATTCTAAATTAATGTGGAAGGTAATTGCATTGAACACCAGTATTATTTTTTTTGTATGTAGTTTTGCATGCAATCTGCATAAAGATATGTAGTATATAAAAATTGATTATAGAGAACATTGTATAGTTTCTGTAGCATCCCAAATATTTACAGCACTATGAGACCACTATGAGGCTCCATACAGTACACGAGAGAGAGACAAAGACAATCAGTAGTCACTTACTGTGCACCATGTCAAACCCGTAAATACTGTGTGTCTTTGCAAAACTGAGGGTAACACATTATATGAGTGGTTCATTGTTTGAAACCTAATGTTCCTGTGCATTTTTTAAATTTTGTTTACATTTTCTGTCTCTTGTGTGCCAGCTTTTCGACCACATTGTGTACTGCATCGCCGACTTTCTGGAATACATGGGCATGAAGGGAACATCCTTACCTCTGGGATTTACTTTCTCCTTTCCCTGTCATCAGAGTAAACTGGACCAGGTAATGTTTGACTCAATATTCATTCAAGTGTAAGACTATCTATCATACATATAATATATTGAATCTACCTGTTTTTCGTACATTTTCTGAACTTTTAGTGTGATTGCCATTAAGCTGGCAGAAACAATATCTGTTTGTTGCCAGGGCTGCAACTCCTACATTCTAAACTAATTAATGCATTGAATTTGAATTGCAATGAAGTAAAGCCAGCATTTTTTATCAGCTTGAGTTTTGAAAGAAGCTGGTATCTATTAGTCACACCCAGTCAAATCTATGGTGGCCAACTTAAAAAAATAGATACCAGTAGACAAAACACAACCAAATAAAAAAAACGCAGATGTCAATGGAAACTGTTTCCAGGGAACATAATAAATTGATTTACATGGCTGGGATAAGGTTGTTGTTGTTGTTGCAATGGTTATTGAAGGTTATTTTGGTGGGACAACAAGAGCCTCCACCATACTACAGAATATTTTTACTTCAAAATTTTGACCGCATGTTAAGTTATTGTATGAACAGGTGTCTTTCAAAATAACGCCATAACTGGTCAAACGTTAGTGTATTAGGTGTCAGCCAGTCAGGACTATACTGTTTGTGCTTAACCGGTAAGCACACTGACGGGGAGCGCACAAAGCCAGCCTAAATCTTGCAAGTTCACAATGACATTTACTTGAAAAGCAAGTGTTAACATTCAAGTGTTCCTAGCAGCTGGAAGTTGGAACAATCAGTGAACTATGGGGAGTATCGTTTAGCTGATGACGGCATGCATTTGAACTAAGCCCTGAATCACCACCTCTTAAATTAAATAATGTCTAAAATAAGGAATGATTCAGTCATTGATTCATACAGAAACATATTTTGGTACAATTCTGAATGCGTTTTGTGTGTTTTTACAAGCTTGAAAACAGGAAGCAAAACCCACGGATAGGCGAACAAGTATAGGACGGGAATGTACTTGTTTTTGTCATCTGTTGTTTGGTTAAAGGCCAATTACCTGCAAAGAATGAGCTTTGGAGGACCCCAAGGCCCACCTCTGTTACCACTGACACTGACATTATATTGCATAAAAGCAAAAAGCGTGCAGTGAAACCAAAATTCTGCTTTTATAAAATGTTAAAATTTGTGATGAATTGTGCACAGAAATGGAGAAACTGCAAAGTACTGTAATCAACCAACTATACGGGTTGATCAGCAACGAATGTATTAGAAAAGCACAGTGCATTCTTTATCAGACTGTGGCAACAATCGACATTTTGTGACCACCTTACGCTGGTGACGTCATCAAGAGTCTGCGCAGTAGTGTTCAGTGTTGGTGCTGCAGTATCGAGATCCCGCCCATATGCCCGGCTGACTCAAACTTTATTTGAGTTGTACTTTGATTAATTTTAGTTTGGCCCATGTCCCATCTGCTAACATGGAGGCAGGTTTATGATCTATATAGCAGCAAGCCGCCGTGAGACTATTGAGATGTTATATACATATACGTATGTACCTTTTTTTTATGATAAAATATATAATATATGACCATATATACAAAGTAAAGTTATGCCACAGTATGTGACTGACAGAAATGAAATGAGTAATAGTAGTGAGTTTTAAAGATTGTAGCATTACAGAAGTTACAAATTATTACACATTAACCAGAGACATTTCAAGCGCCAGTTATATGACTAATGACTCTAATGACACTAATGAATACATTTTGACACTCTGAGGGAGCAGTTGTACAGTTTGATGGACACAGGCAGGAATGACTTCCTGGTACATCTGCAGAATGAGTCTTGCACTTAATGTACTCCTGTGTTTGACCAGTTCATTGTGGAGTGGATGGGGGACCCTGTCCAAGATGATGTAGCTTTACAGCATCCTCCTCTCTGACACCGCTGTCAGAGGAGTCTAGCTCCACCCCCACTACGTCACTGGTCTTGCGGATGAGTTTATTGAGTCTGTTAGCGTCTGCTACCCTTAACCTACTGCCCCAGCAGCCCCAGCAGACAGCCAACAGGATAGCACTGGCTACCACAGATTCATGAAAACATTTTCAGCATTAAGTGTTCTTAGCCCAGTTCAGTTTATTGCCAGTAATATTTCTGGTCTACATTGGTCACTATCAAAAAAGGTCAAAGGAAGGAAAAGCGGTGAACCGGTAACAGTGTCCCCATGGCTAACTGATGCACACGTGGTCCGATCCAACAGAACGAGCACTGTAGCTCAGACTGCTGAAACAGTTAATGTGGTTCTGATAGAAAGGAGTCAGAACACACAGTGCAGAGCAGTTTGCTAGTCTGGGGCTGCACAACCAGGGTGCCCAGGTGGTCATAATGTTACGGCTGATTGATGTATGTCGATGGTGGCAACAATTACCACTATACTGTATTTTTTATATATTATTATAGTGTATATATAGTATTTTTATTTATTTTTTGTTTATCTTTATTTCTAATGTACTATTAAGAATATACAATAACTGACAGTAGCTATTGCAGTGACCTTTACATTCCTTTAGTATAGTCAAATACTGATTTTTACACATTTTTTACACAATTTTTCCAGGGCATTCTTCTGAGGTGGACAAAGGGTTTTAAAGCCAGCGGCTGTGTGGGACAAGATGTCATTACATTACTTAAAGCTGCTGTCCGCCGCAGACAGGTCAGTGCACACATCACAAATACATTGTCAGAAATGTTATTGAAAAAGTGTGGCCTGTGAATGTTGACACTTGAAGAATATAATAATAGGAATACCCCTAGTGGCCAAAGTGGATTACAAACACAGCTGCCTGAAACACAGCCTGTACCCTGTCTGTCATATAGTCTTCTTTGTCTTGTGTAAGAGCTCATAAAAGCAGTGATCTGATTTTTATTGTATGTGATGTACAAAGTGAGTTGATATGGTTCCTTTGATTCGGCAACACTAAAATTGCAAAATCAAGCAACAAAACAGAATTAATTAAAAATACAGAAATAGATGATATATATGCATACTATGTATGTTTGTCAAGACCTTAGGGCAATAATAAAATCAGACATTCTCAAAAACTAAAGTAACCTTGGGGTAAAAGTATATAGATTTACAAACACCTGTCACCTCCTGTTTTCTAATGATGAGTGCAAGAGGCAGCACTAAACCAACATAAAGAATCTCAGCACATTCAATATGTACCTGCTTAAAGCTATAGATCTGCTATTTGTTAGGATTCCTGATTTAAAGCCAGGGTGGTTATTAGTGTAGGCAATTAGGCTACTACTGTATGTTTCTAGTATTAAAGATTTCCACATAAAGCATTGTTTTTACTGGTTTGTAAAGACAACAATGTATTACTAAATTATTGTTACTGCTTCCAGGAATTTGACTTGAACTTTGTAGCTGTGGTTAATGACACAGTAGGAACCATGATGACCTGCGGCTATGAGGACCCCAAATGTGAAGTGGGACTCATTGTAGGTAAGTCTGTCTACCCCCCACCTTCCTTTCTGGAAGCCAGTCTCTTTGTTTCATTTTAAACCTTAAGATCAGTTAACTTAACTGTGAGTGTGTGTTTTTTGAGTGGATCAGTTCTCACTTTAATATGAAAAACTGACTGATGTGATACCTTTCCACCCATATTTAACTCAGGCACAGGGACCAATGCCTGCTATATGGAGGAAATGCAGAACATCGAACTGGTGGAGGGTGATGATGGGCGTATGTGTGTCAACATGGAGTGGGGAGCATTTGGTGACAACGGTGAACTTGATGACTTCTGCACCCAGTTTGATCACATTGTTGATAATTGCTCTAACAACCCTGGGAAACAGAGGTACTGGATGGGTAATTTTTGGCATATTAATTATGTAAAGTCCAAACAACCAAAAAGTCCCAAACTCACAAACAGTATCACATGTAGTCACAAATACCTTATAAACTTACAAGCAAGAGGGGGGCCAAGGACAGAACCACAGAGAACAGCCTTTTGAGTTGTGCACAATTCCTCTTCATTGTCAGCAATACTATATCAGTACTGTCAATGATCATATGACCACCTCATTGCCTGCAATGTACTGCCTTGTTTTTGTAAACAAATCCACTGCTCTACTTGGCTGACAGTAGTGTTGTTTACCTTAAGCAACTGGATTTGAGTTTACTTACTGTAGTATAATTAGGATAATCAGGACTCATTCATCAATATTTTTCTAAAAGGAAAAAAAGAAACGTGCTGAGACCACTTATGTGTTCTTACTCACATTGCATTCAGTGTAACAATTGATATTAAATTGGAGGCACGGTTCACTGAAAGCTATAAAATGTAAATAGATTTGATTCAATTTAATGGGGCAGGACACGAAATTTTAGCAAAAATTACTGAAGTATCTACTTAAAGGCCCAGTATATAAGATTTAGTGGGCTCTTTTTATAGAATATGGTGAAAATTCAATATTATATGCAAAACTATGTTTTCATTAATGTAGAATCACCTGAAAATAATAATGCAGCAGTGTTCTATCTAAATCACAGACGGCTTTCAGATTTTTCCTTCATTGTTAAAAAAATGTAGTCCATGGCAGAAAAAATTTGGTTAACAAGAGCACTGATGAGAGGTGCTGATAACACTGGCCAGGATTGTAGCTTTTGCTAATTTAAGCCACCTAAACATGGCCCTTAAGCCACTGTGCAGACATTTGTCTTTTGTCTTTTGCTCCCTGTGCCTTGATTGATGAAATCAAAAACCGCATTACTATGAATTAGAGTATTTGGTTTTATTAGATCAAATGTTTTTGTTCTTGTCTGGACTGCCTGTTGTGAAATTGTCTTGGATGAGAGGAGTCATTATCATTGGGCATAAGTGATTGCTGCCCCTGTCACACCTTCTGATCATTTTTTACCCACCTCTGTAACAACTGGACCCCAGTACACCTTTGTTTGCTCACTGAGCTTTCATTCCTGGAAATGAGTTTGAGCCTCAGTTGAGTTTAAGTCATTTTTTCCCCCAGTTCTGTATCAGTTTGATTATAGAGTGTGTGAAATATGTAAAGTTTATGTATGTGTAAGTTTTCTGTTTGTCTTTTTCTCTGAGGTATGAGAAGATGGTAAGTGGCATGTACCTGGGGGAGATAGTGAGGAATGTCCTAATGGATTTCACTGCTAAGGGCCTGCTGTTCAGAGGCAAACTGTCTGAGCGACTCAAGACTCGGGGCATCTTCGAGACAAAGTTCCTGTCACAGATTGAAAGGTTAGTGTTAAAAACACGTTCCAGTCTCAATGTCTCTTCAGTTCACCCGTTCGCCATGGTAACTGTATGGTAAGAATAGAACAATCATTTATTATTATTTAACAACCTATTTATCACAGAATTGATGAGTACTGAGGAGAAGAGAGGTGGAAAGTGGGTGAGCAACACCAAGACCAAATGAAGTTACATTCATTGTATTGTATTAAGCATGTAACAAAATATAAAATATTATTGTCTCAGTGTCTTCCACATAAGACTTTACTATGCATTTTGCCGAGAAACACTGAGAGGGAGAGCGAGACAGAGAAAATTTTTATTTTCAGTACGAGGTAGGTTTCACGTTTTATTTTTTTTTTAATCCTTTCAGAGCTCATTTTTCTCATACGTAAGTGTGTGATTTGTGACGCAACGAAAAAAATGATAGAGCAAAACATGAATACACGTTTTTCTGTTGTCACGCGAAATCTATCGTCATATCGCACAGCCCTACTGGAGATGGGTTATATATATATCACAGTGAACAAGCCAGTGATCCTTACCATCCTTTATTACTACTACTATCACTTTCCAAGTTGGGTCCAGTGACTCATCTGTGTACTGCTACTCATAGCTAAAACATCAGTGATGCAAAGATCAACAAGAAATGTAAAGAAAATTGTGAATGTGGTTATTTATATTAAAAATGTGTTTGCAAAGAAGCTGACTCATAGATCTCTATTCTAAAAACTCTGACTTAAAAAATTCAGACTTAAACTTGAATTTGGTGTCTAACCTGTAACCCCCTTTATGGTGTATGCCTTGGCTGCTAGAAACTGGCAAGGCCAAGTTAACAATGAGCTGTGTATAGAAAATAACACATTCGTAAACATGCTCCTTACGTAAATGTTTAAATGCATAAATATTTCGGCCAACAGTCAAAACCTTTCAAACATAAATGTTTCAATAATCCTTTATATTCTTATAAAGGTGCTGTATAGAGGTTAGATAGAACTTAATCACCATGGTAAAAGTAGGTCACTACAGAGGCAATAAGTTATTAGTAGTTTAATGTATTTAACTTGTCTCTCACACACCCTGTATGTTGTCTCATTCATAAGTATAACCTTTGTAATTCTCTCTGATCCCAAAGAGACCGTCTGGCCATGCGACAGGTCCGTTCAATTCTGCAGCACTTGGGCCTCACCAGCTCCACGTGTGATGACAGTGTACTGGTAAAGGAGGTCTGTAGTGTGGTGGCCCGCCGCGCAGCTCAGCTCTGTGGCGCTGGTTTAGCTGCTGTGGTCGACAAGATACGGCAGAACCGCAACCTCAATCAGTTGTCCATCACCGTGGGAGTGGATGGCACCCTTTATAAGATGCACCCACAGTAAGGAGCAATCATGTCCTAACAAAAACATGTATTTCTTAAGTTTTAAACATGTTTGCATAAATGGGAAATGAGACATAACAGGCCTAAAAATTAAAAGTTTACCTAGATTTATCACAGCTACTTCATATGCATCCATACTTTATAACAAAGTGTGCATCAAATATAGACGGGAGATTTTTAACATCTTTTGTCTCGTCCACTCTTCCTGAAGTTTCTCCAGCATCATGCAGGAGACGTTGCAGGATTTGGCACCGCAGTGTCGGGTAACTTTCCAAAAGTCAGAGGATGGAAGTGGGAAGGGAGCAGCGCTGATCACAGCTGTGGCCTGCAGAATGAAGAGCGAAGGGCAGCACTGAATCATCAAAACACAGGTGGACAGGTAGAACCAGAGTTACTATGACTGATTTCCTCTACCAGGTCATCAAAAATAAAGTCCCGTACACTTTGACCTGAGTTTGGATCTTGAGTAATGAAATGTTTATTCAGATTTATTGTGTGCGTGTGTGTGGGTTCACATGCACATGTATCAATGTGAGTTCTTGGTTTGTGTTTTGAATAGAGGTATATTTATGATGTGAGCTGACATTGCGGAGGACGGTGGTAAATTAACTTCAGACATTACATTTAGAGAATTTGCACCTTCTGTGAAATGTGACTGTTACAATCTGTGCAGCTTATTTACACTCCCTTTTTTGTGCACCTTCAAACCCCCACGTATTTTCCCAGCTGACTATTATTTTTTTGTAATGATGCCTGTGATCTGTGAGTTGTTTAGAAAAGTTTATTTATACACCACCTTTCAGGGTCAGACCTCACAAAGTGCCTCAGATTAAACTTCAAATCAAGAACGGATGAATGGAAGAATATTGGATTTTATCACAGGGAATGGTTTCACATTAATTTGAAGCTCAAACAACAAAAACAAAACTTACTGGGTCTACTGTATAAACCCTATGCCTAGTCCACCATTATCTCCTATAATACTGTATGGTCTAATAACTGCAACAAACTTATTCTGATGCAGTATAAAAGTAAGATGTACCATTGTAAAACACTCAATAAACAATTGGGGGTAAATTCAGAGAGTTTGAGAAAACACAACAACCCTAAATTTGTTACTGGAGGGGAAGTTCATCAAACCACAGTGGTCAGAAACTGAAAGGCAAGGAACAGTAGCACTCCTGGGGCTGGGAGGTTGAGAGACGTTTTACGGGGGGTAAAAGGAAGGTTTAATTCAAGTCCTTTTTAGAGTTGTTTTATTTATTTGTGTATTTCATTTGGATGGCACATTGTACAAAGACAGAAAATGACAATCCATAATATCCAGTAGATCTGCCAGTGTCTGTACAGGTCTGTCAGTCGGTCAGTCTTACTGAAGAGCAGTTTCGAAAATCTGTTGTTTTCTCTGAACTATAATATGAAATGTTTTGTTAAAACTATAAACGCCAACAATGAGTGGTACAACCACTACAATCAATCTTTGTTTATGGAACAAATGTTTTTGGAGTTGTGCACACCATAAATATGCCATTAATGTATCCAATGGCAGAATGTTTTTACCCCACTGATTATCATACCATGTCTGATTACTTTGATATGACTACCTGTTCTTTAAATCCAAGCAATGCTTTTTGCTCCTTAAAAAAACAACATATCCTATATTTATAAAAAAGATTCTTCAGCCAAAAGTTGCTGATTTTTCCTATAGATATGATTTGCTTCTTCACTGTCTGATCATTAGTACCCTACAGTGCTGCTGTAATCAATGATGTCCTTAAACAAGACTGGCACAATAAAATTGGCCTTGAATTGCTATTGTTGTGATTTTATTGTTGTGCTTTTGGGTAACCATGATAGCTCACTTGGTGGAGCATCTCTGATTCCAGCGTGCGTGCGTGCGTGCGTGCGTGCGTGCGTGTCCATCAAGAAAACACAGGGACCTTTAATTGCTTACCTAGAAGGGGAAGTTAAATAAATCAGGCTAAAGGAGGGATTGGTTTTAGCCTTACTTGTATTATTTATTTGGTTTCCTGTGATTAAATACAATTTATAATGTTTTGTTGAAACCATAAACCACAATGTCCAGTTGTATGAACACTGAAGGATAAATATACTATTACTGTGTCCAGTTGCCAAACTGTCATGTTTCATCTGCTTAGAGCAGACAAAAACATTCATAAACAGCAATGCCTGCTATGGATTTAGATTTCTCCCTTTGGATTTAACATGCATAATATGCAGCCTAATTAATGTTACTGTACTTTACCAAACACTATACGCTATGCAGACCTCTATAATGAGCCTTCAGCTCTATGAATGCCATACAAAGAAAATTCATTACCAGATACCATAAAAATCAGTTATGTGCTTCTCCAGTACAAAACATTCAGTACACTAAAGATGGAAGGAATTATACTGAAATGGCATAATTTAAGTCCGCCTTCCTGTCTGCACATGATGCAGGTTCAATTTGAATACAAGGGGGTAACAATGGGCTCCAGCCCTGCACTACTTCAGCCTGCATGTCTCGAATGGACCCGAATATATTCAACTTTTATCAATAGGGTTCCAATTTCTCAGTTTCTCATTACACTTGAATCCTATTGAAATGATTATTTTTAATCTATATTCATAACTATGCTTAAAGGCCATTGCATCCATGGATGCACAATGAGACAATGAGCCCCTGGATAAAGACGTAATAAGCACCCTATCCTTCCTATGTGGGAGCAAGACACCCAAACAGAAAGAGACAACTACAACAACATGTATGCACCAGTTGTGGGGTCTAATTTTTTGTCTCTCTGTGGTCATTTTGTTTTTGTTTGTACTTGTGTGACAGCTCTATGGTCTTGTGTCTCTGTGATCATTTTGTGTCTGGTTGTTTTGTTTCTCTAGATGTTTTGTACCCCCTTCTAGTTGATTTCAGTCTCTGTAGTTATTTTGCAGTCTCTTTGGTAATTTTACCTGTCTTTGATGGTTTCACATCTACAGTATCTCAGATGCATTCACATGAAACATACAATAATGTAAGTATAGTAATCAAGTAAAATTAAGTAGTAAGGTTATCCATAAAATAACAAAACCAAAAATAGAAATCCCTTTTCACCACAGTAAACATGGAAGAAACTTCAAATGTTAATTTAAAACATTAAACTTTTTAAAAAGATTTTTACACATTTCCTTTAATAATAAATGTTTTTGCCCATTGGAAACCTATTTTCTAAAGTGTTCATTACCAGTCACTGGGCTTAAATATACTTTTGAGTCTAAATAAATATATATATATAAATAAATGTAAGCATGTCAGCCTGGTGTGGAACTCAATCCAAGTTTGTCAACCCAGCTCACAGTGAGTACAAAGCTAATATTTGTACCACCAGAAAGCTTACTTGCCTCTGTTTTCCAACTGTGTATTTGCATTTTAGAGTGAGCTTTGATGAAGCTTTGTTGTATTACAAAGGACCCACAAATGTTAGTCTGAGATCACCCTACCAAGAAGGCAACTGAGGCTATAGAGTTAAGTTGTCTAAACTCCCTCTGTATATACGCAGTAAGCAGTACACAGGAACAGAAAAGCCTTTGAGTGAATCATTTATTTGGTAACCATCACACAAGAAAAGGAAACAGTCATACAAAACAACACTGATAATGGGCACATTAAACACGGACACATACTGTAGGTTGCTTCATACAGTGACACACACAAGGACACTTTACAGTATGTACAGTGTGCATTAACATGAAAACCCCCAAACACAGATAATACGCATAATACCTGCCAGTGTAGCAGCTAATGGTTGACTGCTATTTGTGTCACAAATAACAGCTTCAACTCCTCAGCTACACCCCCAACCAAATGCAGCAGCAGCACCCATACCTGTCTTTTACATTACATCTGATGACTAAGCATGCATGGTATGAGGTAGAGTGTAGGACGAAGGCCATACATAAAGTATGACCCACCCACCTACATATCACTCGAACGTATCACACAATCACAACATTACATTTTTAAAACTTGCTATGTCTCTGAAATGTTACTACCATGCTTAGAATTTTTAGCCACGTAAAAAAAAGACACCTGTAGTGCCCAGAAGATGAATCCTATAGATTTTGGTGATTCCATTACTTTTCCTCTCGGCCCACCATGAGTTTGACGTTTGTGAAACGTCAACTACTGGATGGATTGCCATGAAATTTGGTACAAACATTCATGGCCCCCTCTGGATGAGTTATAATAATTTCTGGTGCCATCACCAGGTCACTTTCAATTATCTTTAACTTATCTAAATATATCTTTACTTTGGTTTATGGCTCACACATTGCAGGGAGAGTAGAGTTAAAGAACTTCAAGAATTAAAATTCATTCAGACAAAGTGATCTACTCAAAAATTCAATTTAGGCAGAAAAAACACACACTTGTTTTAGTTATTAAATCTATCAGGGTCAGTATGGGTCAGTATGTATTTTATTTAGTAGATTATCCACTTGGGCACCATATTTCAGAAATGTCTTCCTCTGCTGGAATACTCATTAGTTAACTCTGGCTACACTAATGAGCTGCAGTGGTCACATTTCTTCTTTTGTTTTTTAAAATAAGACAAGCGGGCTCATCATCTTCAGTCACTTTTAATAGTAGACAGGAAAACTGGAATGCTGCAGGTTTGTTTGAGGTTGCAGCTGAACAGTGAAGTTTCCCTCAGTGCATTTCTCATCCTTTTTTTTTCACAAGTGTTCAAAATTAAAGATGAATATTTGAAAAAAGAAAATTGGGGGCTCTAATACAAAAATACCAATAATAGAATTAAGCTTCAATAAACCCATATCAGTGGAACTCTAGTGCATAAGTAGAAACAGAACTACAGTATTACAGCCAGTTACACAGCATGAGAAAAGCATAAATAACACTAATATACACTGATACAAGGTTACAGTAGTCTTCAACATCTGTTTTGGTTCTCCTGAGGTGTCATCAGGCAACAGACTCATTTCACAGTATTCAGTATTAACAGTTACAACAAAATTACAATGCACTGTTTGACAATCAATCATTTGTCAATGCAACCTGAGCAAATTGCAAATTGGAAAGAGGACATGAAAACAGTTCACTTTCTGTTACCACAGACATTAGTATTGTTGTATATATAAATAACAATAACATATAACCAGTGATCGACAGTGAGTGTAACCTGGCTAAGCTAAAATACAATGACACTGACGTGCTACGGTTTACTTCCTGCTCTGTGTACACTGTTTGGTGTTGTAACTGTGTCAGTTAACGCTAAATATAAACTTGATTTACTCGTTACAGCGGTTATTTACCCGCTTAACGATTAAACGTAGCCTCGTTCTACCTTAACACTTCGTAGGCTACTTCCTTCTTTTAGCGACTTTTTGCTGTATTTTCGAAAAGTTTTCCACACACGCAGCTGGTTCAATAAGGCACTAGCATTCTTAGGCGGATGCCTTCTCCCTCTTCCTCTCCTGTGTCTGGCTCAGGTGCTGGTGCAGATGTTTAGGTATGACTCCTCTGGCCCTCCTTAGCGATCATATGGTACATGTATTAAGTTGTAGTTTATTCACTGCGCTGGAGGCGAGAGGATTTAGGCAAGTTAGAGCGCACGGCCACGCAGCCACCACCGAGGATATCATTCAGGCATCCATAGTTACAGGCCAGCACAGGCTGCGGCGGTGGGGTCGAGCCGAAGGTAGCTTCAGGGTAGCATCCCGAGCACCGGGAGAAAGGGAGCTTTTGGTGACTGAACGGAGAAGAGCATAATAACTTGCCGAAGCCCACAGGTTCACCCCAGAAAACGCGTTCGACGTTTTGTAGATAGGATTTCCCCCCACTGCAGGGAGCACACCGCTGAGGAACAGACTGTGGTTATTGGGCTCTCCATAGTCGAGAAGAGCGTGAAGTTAGCGAAAGGCCAGCGGCCATAGTTAAATGTATCCTGGGGGGCCAGAGCGGGCGACATTGAATCATATTTAGAAACTGCTGGCTAAAGATAAGCGTACAATACAATAAAGATTGTTATTCACAGCGGTCGGGGTAATGACACCCGCATTACGCCAATCGGAGGTCACTAAGATTAAGTGTGGAGGTCGGGCTGTTGTAATTATGGGGAAAGCCTGGTTCTGATTAGTGAGAAAGACGGCATGGCCATTCCCACGGTTTGGATGAGGCCGCTCTCTTATCCAGGCAACTATGGCGGAAGTTTATTTTCGTAAATCGCTGGACCAATTGCCATGAGTTTGGGACCGAGGAGCAGGAGTTGCGTGTCTTACACACTCTCTGCGCTTCCATGTAGTACAGCACCCACCCAAACCCCATACGAGACTGTGTCTGGTCCG